ATTGTTTTAATGGTAGTCGTGTGGAAATCTTTATTGTCTGCGTTGGGTAATTGTGGCGCCCTCTACCAACCCCCTAAATAGTTGATTGTGGAATCAACTACAAACAGCAAGCTCAGCTTTTGTTGAAATTTATTTTGTAAATATTAACCTACATTAAAACCAATTCCATTTTATATTTCTTTATGGTTTACTTTGACAATAAATCATCTAAATCTGTATAGATGTCTGTATAGTATAATAATTGCTATTCATTTTTGTGGCTTACTTTGTACACTGACCCTATATATTGTATATAGGGTCTGTGCTTTGTAGTATAGTTCTGCTGTTATCCACTACACAATAGTGTGTAATCATGTATTACAGAGAACTGTATATCATGATCACTCAAGATTGACCCTATAATTAGTTCTTATCAACAAACAAATAATACCCTGGACCTCAGGGAAGAACAGTGTAAAAATACTGAGTATCCAGAATAAAGAAAGATTTCTAACTAACAAATCAAATATTTGATCATACCTTTCTTAAACATATTTGAAAATGTCTGATGGTTCTCAGCGAACCAGATGACAAAATAAATACTTAGCTCCGCCTCCTCCTCCTGTGTTCTGATATCAACAAAATAGAAAGAAAAGAGTTTAACAAGTCATCTATTAGGTGTTCCAGATACTCTTTACAATTTATTATAATTAATATTAAGACAAAGGAAGTTTCTTCTTGCTCAAAAAATGAAGAAAATATGTTAATAACTATTGCTCTAATTTTAAATGCACCCAGAAATGTTCATACTGCTTTTGATTTTATGCTGCTACAACACCTACAATTGACTGGATATTAAAATACATTATAAATAAACAAATTAAATAAATACATTTCAAATAAAAAAAAATAATAATGAAAAAAACTGAAAGTAATAAAAAAAATTCAGTGTAATCTCCTATTCTAGTTATTTCCTCACCTCTTGTTCTGTTCTACTCTGCAGCACTCTGTTTGTTGTATGATCCTCTTAAAGACTATCAAGGTTTGCAATATTCTTCCTAGAATTCTCAATGTTTGTTCATACTACTTGCTTCAAACTTTTTATTATTCTCTCCCTGCAATGCATGGACTCTGCTGCCATTGTTTGATATGCTGAGGAGGAATTCAAAACTTGACTGGTTGAAAAATAATCATGTAAGGACAGACAGAAATATTAGAGTACTTCAACTTTTACAGAGATGATATTAGAGTGCTTTAAACTTCACAGATTAAGTGCTTTAAATATTTCACATAGATTAATATCATTATGATTTACTAAAGTGAAACAGTAATACCCCAACACTAAACATATTTTCAAATTTTAATTTTAATCTTCATGATGTGACAGATGCAATATCTGCCATAAATACTTTCTTCTTTTGATCTTTATGATGTTGGATTGCTGGAACTTGTTTTTTAACCTGTCCATTATTTTATTGTGATTTTATTTAAAACCAAATTTATTTAAATATTTTTTTATTGCTTAATTTCTTGTTCAATTTTGAATTACAGTTCTCCCTCCAATTTGAAACCAACTTTGGGACCCGAAAAAATTTGGGGTGGTCTCGGGGTTGGTCTCCAATTAGAGGGCTAGCTTTGTTTAAAAGATTAAAAATTGTTACTTAGGCATTTGGAAAAGTGGTCTCAAATTGGTGGTTGTTATTCAACTGTTGAAATATATAACTGAAAACAATAATACTGTAATCTGCCACCCTTGTTTGTTTAGTGTAGTTCTCATCAAATTTGAATCACACACTATTGATCTAATGATTTTATTTGTTTGTAGTGCTTGCAAATTTGAAGTTTTTAATCATATAATGCATATGCATGTTATTTTCTTACATAATGATTTTCAACATTTTACTTTTGAATCTATTGGGATTTTTTTGTACAGCCTATCTTTTTGATTTTCATAAATTTTGATATTTACAAGTTGGTTCCTTTTTT